ATAAATGGAACAATATATATTTTTTAAAGAGAATTGTTGTGGGTTTGCCCCTTAAAAAAGCTTTTATTATTCCTTTCAAGGAATATCGAGTATATTAAGTATATTAAGTATAATAATATATATTAAGTATATTAAGATACTTTTTGCTGTACTTTGAAATAGACTAAAATTGTTTGATAAGTCCTCCTATTTGACCTAGCTTGTTTTTTTATACGTGCAAATCATTTGATTTTTAAAAAATTTAAAAAGACAATCAAAACTTAAAATTAGGTCAACTTTACTTGTATTATAGTTTGTGTTACAAATCCATTCTAGCTTTACTGTCCATCTTCCATATCCAGGTATTACTTTACTGTTTTGCTCATAATGTGCAAGTTTAAATAAAACCACAGGATTAAGCAGAATAAAATCATTTGGTTCATATTGATTGTGCAGGTTTATTATTCACATTCATTGTTGAACCTACTCTTACTTTTAGTATTAATATCCCAAGGAAAGTGAAATATTTATTAAGCAAATTCAGCCAACATGTAGAGGGAAGAAAATTGAAAATGTGACCAAGTTTTAATGGCCATGTCAGAGTATTGTAGTTTGAAATCTGTAGTTTTAAAAATAGAAGACAGACCATTATATGCAATGGCAAATATTGAATTAACTTCAATAATATATTTTTGTCATAGAAGTAAAACAATTTCTATCTTTAAGAATACACATTTAAATATACTATTCTTTCTATGTGTTTGTTTCTCTTCTTGCATGATCTTTCCCTTTTTTCCCTGTTTCTTTTTTCTTCTAGATCACTTCTGTCTTCTGGTGTTAATTTGTTGATTTCCATTTTCTAACTTGTCTAGAGCCTAGAAGAGGAGATAGCATCCATTTTATTTAGTAAAGAGGGGTTTTCCACTAGCGTGAAATCTGCCTTCACTTCAGCTTTCTCGTGGACAGCAGAGGGCGCAGTTGGGAAAGATAATGTACCTTCTGAAAAACTCTATGCCTCATCCATCTCTCAGCCATTACCTGAGGTGCTCTTACACATTTCCTTTTCCCAAACCAAAGCCATAGAGTTGTGGGTGGGTGACTTTTGACATGTCATATAAATGTTTATGTCCAATAAATTCAGTGGCCAGTCATTTTTTAAAAAATATACTGTATAAGCTGAAATATATTTTTAAAAGCCTAACTGTTCAATGGGAACTGAAATATGCTGAAAACATTTGCATGGTGGGCTTTTCCCATCAATGCTACTTCAGAGTTACCTCCCTAAATGGATTGAGAATAGATGACTACACTACAGGCATTTACATTATTGATTCCCTGTTTTTTTAAAAAAAAAAAATTCAATAGCTAATGAAATATTAAATGCAAAATGTTTTTTATTGCAAAAATAATAAGGTAAAATTATTTCACCATAAATCTGTATGTTTCTTGGGAATAGATCTTAAAAAAACAAAAGTTCTTTCTACTATTTGTGTGTGTCTGTATAAACACACACACACATCATGTGTATTTGAAAACATCTGTCAACTTCAACTACATCAACCCTTTATACTTGTTAAAACCAAAATTCCCCATCATGTCACAGATGCTGTGCTAGGCTTAATTGAACAAAAAGGTGCTATTTGCTTCCTTGTTCATATTTCTACATCATTTAGCTTTTAAATTCTATTAACTAATTTGTCTATACCCTAGGACCTATGGCATAGGTCATAAAAGATGCTAAATGTTAACATCTAATGTCAGTTTCTTTGAAGCAGGAAACCATTACTATGTTCTAGTAATACTGCTTTATCTTCCATTATTAATTGAACTCCTTCACCTGATAAAGTATGGACAATTTTCACATTTCTTCAGAGCTGCATTAGCTCTACAGTTCTTACATTATAATGACTTAGGAAGTGTTATTACTTTCAGTGAAATACAATCATTTGGTAGTTGTAGCAACTTATTCAGAAGTGCCTACAAGTTAGCTAGAAAACAACACTGCAGGTACATATATGAAACTGATGAACATTTCTTTGATTTGACTAAGTAAAGCCTGTACCAGTTAGTATTAGCTTGGATGGTTTGGCCATTATTATTTATGAGAGAAATGGTACTTTATTACCAATATTCGAGGGAGAGAGAGAGTGTGTTTTTATATTGGTGTTTAACATAACCCATAATATGGCCCTGGCAGAGTCACCTGCCCAAGTACTTTTATATTTTCAGTGTTCTTGTTTCTTTGTGATCTAACAAAACTGCACCATAAATGTATGAATGTATAGTCAGTCCCTCTGTGCTGTTGAAAAATGGTAAAGTCAGATCTTTGTGTCAGCTGAGTGTAAAAATTGTATTTATATATCTTCCAATTGCTTTTTGTTTCACAGAAATTTACTTTCCAAACAGAAGAGTCTTCCATTGGAACCAGCAGGACTATTAAGGTTCTACTATTTTGCCATAGTCCATAGTCCATTGAGCTTTCACATTTCAAAATCTTCTTTCTTCTTTTCTTTGTTTGTTATTGTTGTTGTTTTTTTCATTTAACAATTGCAAATCATCTTTGCTCTTCATATGACCTGAACCACCCATCACTTAGTTTTATGTTCATTATTTTGTTTATTCATATGTTCTACTTTTTGTTTTTTCTCATCCATTTGTTTTGTGCAGAGTTCACATGAGACTCTGGACATAGTGGAGAAGAAGCAGGCAGAGGTTGGGATAGCAGAGACAGTAGTCACAGACGATACCAACAGGGGGAAAATACCATTTGGTGGTGGGGAAAGTCAGAAGATGGAACATCTATCAAAGAAAGACTCTTCATCACTGTCATCCAATAGCAGCAGTAGTGAGAGTGAAGATGAAGTAGGAGAGTATCAGCCACACCAGCAGATTATGCAAGATACTATAAAAGAAGAGTTGGAAGAAAATGAAACTATCAAAGAGGAAAAACACAACTCATCAGCAGAAGTGTATGTTAAATTTTCAGAAGAAGTCAGTCCAATTCAAACAGCAATTGAGCATAAGGAGTTGACTGAAACTCTGATCCAGACAAATGAAGCTTCCACAAAGACACCAGAAAAGAGGAAGTTAAGACAATTGGATGACGAAGGCCTAAAAGAAGAAAAGGAGGAAGATCAACCCAAACTAAATGGAGAAGCATCGCATATTGACCTTGAAATTTCGCCACAATTAATTTGTTGCTCAGAGGTAAATGGTAGAAGAGGAACTGACTCGGAAGTGTCTTCATCATAGGGTCAAATATTTCTGCCTTTCTTCTTCTCTGTCTTATTCAGATTTCATAAATATTGTGGGAGGGGGGAATGTTGGCAGTCAAAGTCAGCCTTTGATAATTTCTTCTCAAAAGAAGGAATTTGGGATTATATCATCTTCTTTTTTTCTTTTTTCTTCTTTAAGTTTCTCATGTTCCTCTTCTGTTTGCATGTGTTACTTTGTTTGAGTCTTCTAGCATTTAGTTGATTGGAATTTCATGACCCAATATGAAACTTTCTAATGCATGTGGTAAAAAAAGCCAGTATGTTTAACATGCAATTTACTTCTTAAAAGACAGGATTTTGTAAAATATTTGTAAAAGTTTAAAACTTATATGTTTCCTGCATATTATATGAAATTACTGTCTAGAACTTGGCACAATGTCACTACACTCATAGATGGATGTTTGTGCTTCATAAAGCACCTTTGGATATATTCATTATCAGATTTATTGCTGTTTGCCAAAAGCCTTTGCATCTGCTTTTGTCATTGTTTTATATCGTATAGGCAGACCTGTAAAGACATTAATATATTATGGTAAATGGTAAATTAAAGTTTTCGGAGTCCAAAATATGCAGTCTAATTAGAGTGAATGATGGGAAGTAAAACATAATTTAAAGTATCCTATCTCGTGTGATATATTTAGTGAGCAATCTTGTCAAAAAACAATAGTGCCAATCAGCTAGATTTGGGTATATGGAGGGGCAGGCATTAAGCAATATGCTGTGCTCTGGAATCTGTACAGATTCATAACTGTCATCTTGTGAATTTATAAAAGTAGATTTTATTTGACCATACCTGGCCAGGCATCACTGGTATATTAAAAAGTCAAATAACGCCTGATTTAGTTCTGTTCTTTGTAGCTGTTTCAGATATTTAGGAGCTACATATTTGAAGGATATCTTTTTTGTTGTTGTTAATCTGTTAACATTATTTATCTGTTAACAGATTTTTTTATGTAGGACAGAACATCTACTAATATGGTTTGAAAATGCTTTGTTGGGTAGGTTATTGATGATATTGCATGCCAGGATTGTGTGCCTCCTGTTAAGATTTGACTTTAGAAAATTGAGGAGTATCTTTACAATAACCATTATTTTTTCACATCAAGCTTGACTGTAATCTACATACTGTATACTTTGCTGTTTCATGACTATTAAAGTCAGTCTTCTGTATTTCCTGAACACTAGCCTCCACTTATTAAAACTGAGATGGTGACGATTTCAGAGGCCTCACAAAGAACTGAAATATCCACCAAAGAAGTTCCAATTGTTCAGACAGAGACTAAAACGATCACCTATGAATCTCCTCAGGTACAGATATTTAAAATAGCTAAGTTTAATGAAAGGGATCATGTTGCCTATCTAAATAAAAATAATAAGTATTTAAGAAGATATGAAAAATGCCAGTCAGATGCCTCTTGGAAGTTACAAGCAAATCATGACCACAACAGTGGCTTTCCTTTCATATATTTCCCAAATGGTTATTGAGAGAAATATTGCTTCTGGTCCTGTATAGGTAATAATAGAGTGATAATGTGCATCACAATTACTGATTTCTCCTATATACTATGCATTAGCCGATTTAGACAAATCAGGATGCCTAGTACATTTGCAGTGTGCGAATAAGTTACTGCCTTGTCTATAAGCCTGTCTTTAGGTTTCTAATGTCAGATTGCCCGCTACAAGAGCCTACCTCTTCATATGTCCTCAGCACAAGAAAATATTGTTCTGTTCTTTAAGAAATTGATCTCTTCTAAAGAATCATCCCCCCTCAAGTTCCTGCTATGCTCCCTCATTGTGATGGTGGTGGTGGGGTGTTCCTGGGAAGCATGAGTGAAGAATGCCCAGGGTATGCCAGGAATGTATTCTTATGGTATTTTGGAGTACTTACGGTGTTTATGACACTGCTAGATTAAAGTCTTTGGGACATCTAGTCACTGATTTTGCCTAACAGGAAAGAAAATCTTCCTTGCAAAGAGAGCATTACAGTGGGATCATGGAATAGAACAAGCATGAACACAGGAAAGCTCAACACAATAAAAGATGAAATGAATCAACTACACACTGACATCTTAGGCATCAACAAACTGAAAGGGACTGGAATTGGACATTTTTCAGTCAGAAGATCATACTGTTTACTAGTCAGGTCACAAACCAAGAAGGAATGGCACTGCTTTCATAGTCAGGACATAGCAAACACAGTGCTTGAGTACAATGCAGTCAATAATGTAGTTGATGAGAGACAATATTTGATTTCTTACAAGGTTGCTTCTGCTTAAAAAAATCATGAATTTATGTTTTTATTTCATTCTTAATCAGAATTGACTCTATGCTCTTCTTGACTATGTAGTTTGATGACGCTGGTGATGCTGGTATGCTGTTGAGTGCACAGACGATCACATCGGAATCTGTCTCTGCTACCACAACCACACATATTACTAAGGTAAGAGAAAAGGAATAATTTAGAATGTGAAGCTTTTGTAACTCAGCCACTTTCTGAGTCTTTGAGCTTTATAATTCTGGTTTATATTCATCCTGCTATGTGAGCAACTCAGCAGTTCATAAAGGTCCTTGTTCTTTTCCCTAACTAAACAAAGTTGGAAACCATATTTGCATGTCCATCTAAATAAGCTATAGAAGTTGCTTTAGATATGCCATTAAGAGGATAAGGATGAAGCCAAAGTAATCAAGCCTATTCATGTACATCAGAATTTTTGCTTACTATGATGGCTTTTTTAGCTGGCTTCTCATATATGAATACTAGCTTCATAACGTTTTTTATGCTTTTGTGTGCTACTCTATGCTGAAAAGCATAGCTCTTGCTAATGCTTTTCCTTTTTTAGTATTTCAGCAAATACTTCAAGGCATTGCACAATAAAATTATTAAAGTAACATACAAACAAAAACAAATAGTAAAAATATCCTATGTCAGAAATAAAAAGTGAAATAATATTTAATGAACAACAGAGCAGTTGATAAAAATGAATACTGTAAAAGTTGGAGCCAATCAAGAAGTTCGCAGAAGAGCATTCTAAGGTTCTGCAACAGTGGGACTTTGTTGACCATCTTAAATGTAGAGTAGATTAATTTTTCTTCCCCCAGTATCTTCTTGTTTGTGGGCTTTCTAGAAAATGTTAGTTTCCAAACAATTAATAAAAACCGGGCAATTGATAGGAGAACACTTTTAATTCTTGTCTAACCCAAGCTCAGGGAACAGAATCTTGCTGAAGAGCCAAATCTATCCCTAGGCCCCCTCCTTTATGGCTTTCCTTCTCAGAAAGGGTTTCTTTCCCTTTCAAGCTCACCTCTGAAAATAATTCCTCCTCCCCCGTTGAGAAAGATATGAATCAAACGAAGCCAGCAATCACATAGCAGCCACTAGTTGCTGGAATGGAAGCAAAAGCCTATCTTTATCCTTTCATCTATGATGCTTATTTTTACTTGGCTAGAGAAGGCAGAGAGGGGTCGGATGCGCTGACTTTGGCCCAGTTAAATTTTCAAGGCAAGAACTATTTTAATTTGCATTTTGAATCCTGTTTTTTCTGATTGGGAGGCTGGTAGAACACTAAAATGGTTCCAACCCCTATTCAGCTAGACATATTTGTAAGAATCTTGTTTCCAGCTATTATTTTCTTTCTTGTATTATTAAATAAATGCTCCTCTAGCCATCTTTTTTCCTAATATGATGCATTCAGAGGAGGTTTTGCTGAGGAAAGGCTATGAATGATTGCAGTTATCAATAAAATGCACCTGTAGCAGAAACAGTTCCAGTAGATACATATACAATAAGGGGTCATGGAAATGTGGATAGCAGGAACATTAATCTAGAAGTGAGAATGCATTAACTTTTTCCTCTCTACTCAGACTCTGTTTTAAGTGTGTGTTATAACTCTGTCTAATTCTGCACAGGCAGATTTCTGTTGAATTTCTATTTCATTGCAATATTTGTCAAGCAAATTGATAGCATCATAGAATTAAATTACCTTTTCTTGTGAATCCTGTAGACGGTAAAAGGTGGTGTGTCAGAAACCAGAATTGAAAAGCGGATTGTTATCACTGGAGATGCAGATCTTGATCATGATCAGGTGAGGCAAAATTAATGCTATTTTCTATACTTAGCCTATAATGAGGCAGTTCTTTCTTTATATATGGAGGAAAGGAAGATATAAGAATATTTATAAGATATAAGAATTGGAACTAATAAGAAAATGAACAATACTTAAAATACGTGTAATTTGCAAAGTGCTTCATTTACAAAAAGACTGACTTATTGTGGATGAAAACAAAACAAAAAAGAATCACAAATATTCATTAAACTCATAGTTTGCCCTTGTTAAGCTCTTCATAAATAAATAAAACCAGGATTTAATTTTAATTTCTTAATGGTAATGTATCAGAGCCTCTAAGTAAATTTAATCTGAGATTTGGATGAATGTGACAAGTTCAATCTCTCTTTGAAGCTTGAAATGAAATGGCAGAGCTGCTTAGCTTTAGGCCTGAGGGATAGCTTTCCCACCACATGCTCAGTACAGCTGGGGAGTTTGAAAAGGTCAAATAAGATCTTTGTTTTAATAAAATTAAATTTATCTCTTTTCAGTATAACATATTTAGGAATCTATAAAATTATGACGTCCTAAAGTAATCTTGCAGTGGGTCTGAAACTAATCTTTGTATGGCTCCATGAATATTTGTTTTTTCAATATATATATACATGGATGCTTTTATTCAGTAGTATACTGAGCAATTTTTCAAGAGATTGCAGTCTGTG